AAGGGATCATTTGAAGTTTCAAAGTGGGATACAGAAGAGAATTGATTTTAAAACTTCTAGATGCCATTGATGATGGCAATACCCTTTCCATTATCAATGTTTTGGATGCTACGAGGATGATAGACTATGCTTGGAGGAATGTTACAGAAAAGACAATTAAGAACAGTTTTGTAGAAGAGTTTAAGCAAAGAAACAACAAGAAAGAGGAACAACAACAAAACACTATTGACATTGTAAAAGATAGAAACTAACAAAGAAAATTTGGATGAATGAATAATCATCAAGATTAATTCTTAATCCAAGACTTAATCTAGACACTTCATTTGAAGAGATTTTGCATGTGGATGATTCCCTGGTAACATGCAGAATGTTGACAAATATAGAAAACATGGAAAATGAGAGGATTTTCTGACAACGACAAACTAGAGGATCAGGTAGATTCACCTAAAGATATTACCACAAAAGAAGCAGAAAAGGCCATTAAAATGTTGAGCTTTCCTTGAATCTCAGGAAGATAAGCAATAGCTGCAAAAATATCCTGACTATCAATCACACTACTCAGTAGCCTAAACTCCAACAAAAAATCGTATACTTACACAAGCATTTTCATCCACATTCCATTGGACATTATCAGGCTGTAGAATTGGAAAATAGGCTCCATTTTCCAAGTCTACAGCCTGATGCCCAATGGAATGTGGATGAAAACATTCACATAGTATAGGATTTTTTTGCTGGAGTTAAGGCTATTGAGTAGGGTGATTGAATCTAACATATCCATCATTTAGTTGTTGTCTTTTACAACTACAGTAGAGCGTCGATTATCCGAATCAATTGGGGACTGGGGTTGTTCGGAAGATCGATGTTTCGGATAACCGATTATGTACAAAAAATATATTAATTTATCCCATCTTGACATTTTTCTCCGTTGCGTGTCGCTTCGCGTTGAATTTTCGTTGATGTTAAGCCTAACAAAGACTATTGTATCGTTAAAAATTATTTTTTTATTTTGTACGAACAAAATAAATATATTGAAAAATATAAAAACAATAAAAAATTGTACTTCAGAAGTTAATTTAGTATCAAAAACGTAAAATATTTGAGTGCCCAAGACATAGCCAAAGATTGCAGCGCCACAGCACTGGCAAAAATTTAAATTTGCCGACTGGAATTCTTTCGGATGATTGACTTTCAGATAATCGACGCTCTACTGTATTACTTATCTTCAAAAAATTGTCCAGTTAAAAAATGTCAGGCATCAGAAATTATTGACCATTTCTGCTAATGGATGTCAAAAATGTTTTATTTTTACCTAATACAGGTATGTACTGTACAGTACATGCTATTGTATTAATCAATACCATACCTTGAATCAAACGTATTACTGTTTGCTGTTAACAAACCTGTATGTATATCTTGAGAAAAAAATTTTAAATAGGTAGGTTTCATTTCCACGAGATTCGTGATAGACAGGTTTGAGTGTATTTCTGACGTTTTAAAAGAGAATTTTTTTTTTCATATTGTCATTGATTTACTTTAAAAATCTAAATGCAAAATTTGAATGATGATAAAATCCAAATTATTAAAACATAAATATCAATAGAATTTAATTATATATATATATATTTTAAATGCTTTAATCAGTTTAATTCAAAATGATAAATATAGATTATAACAATAAAATATAATATTAATAAAGTATTTACATTAAAGTTTACACGAGAGTTCATTATATACAAGATTGCTGTTATATAGCAATGTATAATATTCAAATTTTTAAAAATGTAAACATTCTTTATGTACTGGTACATTCAAAAATAAAAAAACAATTGAACATAGGTTTACATCTGTAGTTTAATTTTGCAAACTTTTGAATAGAAAATGCAATAGAAATTCTTTCTGTATTTGAAAATTTAGACGATTTAGAGCTCATGTCCACCATTCTTACAACATTGCTCTTTTGAAGAACTGAAAATTATTAACATATTTGATATGTATACAAACAAAGTACACTTATTTAATTTTGATTAAATCATTAAAGACAAATTGTGATTTGATGAATTTTTAAAAAATACTCACATTTTACTTTTAATATAAATGTAAGTTATTACCGGGGCTGGACTGTAAACAAAATTTGACCATGTCATGGTATTAAAAACAGCTTGTAAAAATCAACCTCATTCAATTAAAGGTAAAAATAATACAATAAGTGATTAGGTTAATTTTAATATGAAAGACATTATTAATGTAATATAATGCTGAAAATTTTTATATAAAATAAATTTCTAATGGGTTTCTGAAATTATTCATGTTTTGTATAACTCCAGTGCCTTAATAATTTGCCCTTGCCTCTGGCATTTGCCAGAATTGCCAGTCCGGCCCTGGTTATTATGGAGTTTATAAACAAAACTGACGTATGATAGACCAGTGTTTCCTAAATGTCCATCCACAATGAAACTTTTGTCAGTCTGCAGTAAATGTACTTAAAACAATAGAACTTATATTTTTAAATATCAATAAATCACTATACATACAAATCTGGAATCTTGATAATGTTTCTATACTTTGTTTTCATTTACCAAGTTGAATTTTCAAGTCTCACTTCAAGTGACTTGACTTGTGACAATGTATAGAATCTCAAATTTCCAAACTTATTCAAGAAAACAATTACAAAGTAGTTGTTATTAAATTGTAGATTATTGATTAGTATAATTCTTGTATTCAAAATGTATTCTATTTTATTTTTTTATCATCATCATGTTTTTGATGTTCTCTATTCTGAAATTAAATCCTAAATTTCTTGTTAAAATGCTCTTATTTTATGCTAATGATAGATGATTATTGTTTTACATGTTTACACTTTGTAAAATAAAAAAAACATGGGGCCTGTAAAATTTGTTTTCTATTTATGATATTTAAAAGGTTGGAAATCATTGCAGCAGACTGAAAACTGCTTTTGGATCTAATTGGTTCCAAAAAGTCATTAAGCAAACTATCTAAGCAACACTATGCCATAAAATAAAACACAGTTTCGAGCAATACAGCTTGAACTATATAATACCATTAAGAGATTGCCACAAAACGTTACATTTCATTCAATCAAAAAAAAGTAATTTATATCAGTCATAAAAACAGGTTATAAAACAAACAATTTAAAATAGAGTCTGTCATATTGAAATTATTATTTATAAAAATAGCAATGGATGGTTTACACCAGGAGTCTGCAATCTATAGCACACATGCTAAGTTTGGCACATGGGACAATTTTCAGTGGAGGTCTGAATAAAAATGTAGTAAAAATTATATTTTAATTATTAATTACATATTTAAATGGAAAACATAGTTCAGTATAGGCCATGGCATATTAAAAACAAATCTCTTGCTTGTATATTTATATTACAGCACATGCTTTACATTCTGTGTTGTGCATGTGCCTCAAAGAACATGATTCAATTAACAACTTTGAAATTATATATTTTTGAAGTTCATTATTAACAATTTTGATAATATATATATGATAAAATTGGTGGAATCATGTTGCTATCAGAATAAAACTATAACAAGTTTGGCACAACACTGCTAAAAGTACACAATTACTGTTTTTAATTATATTTAGAGTATTTTGTTAAAAAGCTATACATAATTTACTGGATATTCACAATTTATTTCAGTGATGGATCCAGAAGAGTGCAAAGGGGGGCTTACTTAAAAATATTTTAAAACTTGTAAGTCTCTTTTATTAACATGTTCATGATCATTGTATTGTGGATGGTCTGAAAAACTATATTTGCCAAGAGGACCTTTTTCCAAGCGATAAGGATAGAAGCCAAACATATCTGATTGAAAAATTCCTGGGGTTGCTTGCCCAGATTTTACGAGTCCCCACAGTAGTGGACTGATGCCTTAACCATTGAGAGCTGGATGGCCAAAATGTCAAATCTCAAATTTTTAATATCTGTACATTTATTATTATTATTACAAATGGTTTATGCATAAATGTATACAGTAGAGCCTCAAAAACTCGGCCTAATGTGGACCGAAGGGTGGTCGAGTTTGTGAAAATGCTGGGTTATCGGAAATGGAGTTAAAAAAAAAGAATAAGTATGAGTGTTTCCTCAGAAAATACTGTACTGTACTTGTATGTATTGTTTACTTGAGAATACAACAGAGAATAAACTGCCCAAATACCCTTAAACAAAGGAAAAGTACGTCCTTTATGAAGGCATAGAGCCTTTACTACATGAAAATGAAAATTAATGAATACACTGTGTACAGTAATTTACCTGATAAGACAGACCTCAGAAAAATACTTTATGAGGCATAAAGCCGTCTTTATCATGAAAATTAATTAACTAAGGATTTTTTTGCCCTGCCAGGGTGTGGCCGAGTTTTCGAGGCTCTACTGTACCAACTATAAATCTCTTCATAAATTTCGTGGGAGTTCCAATAAAGGAATAAACTTGTGCTGTATATTTATATACATGTATATATATTGTTTTTTAATTAAATTTATTTTAAAAATAACATTATATAATAAAATCAAAAATAGAATGTTTAAAAACAAACTAAAAAGAACAATAAAATAAAAACCCTTTTAAAAAACAAAACTTTATTTAAATAAATATACAATTAAATTAAAAACAAAAATTATGATTTGGCAACAAGAATTTTGAACAATTCAATTAAAATTTATAAAGAAAATATTAATATTTTCAATTGGCTTATAATATTTGAACATTATACATAGATAAATATTCAATTTTCAAAACATATAACATTCTTCAACTTTTTAGTAATTTAAAATTATTTTTTATAAGAAACAATGAAAATATTAATATAAAAACTTGAAATCAAACTAATTCTTGACGACAAAATAATATTTTATGTACAATAAATGATAATTTACTGATGAGCAATAATATACTCATATAAAAAAATTTCTATATAAAATTAAGTAGTATCGTCAGATGTACACGGAGACGTAATAAAACTTGAAGAACTACCTTGGCTGTCTTCCGAACTGCTAGGAGGATTTGTGCTTTCAATAGCATTACTAATTTGACTCTTCTTTGAAACACCAGTTTCTTTCTCATCCTGTTCTTCTTCTTCATCCAATACATTAAATATGTTGTTACAAGCTACAATAAATTATTATTTGATTCAAATTAATTAAGACAGGTTCTTTAACAGTTAGTAAACAGGATGTTCAAATAATTATAGCTATTGATAAAATTATTATTATATTAATTTGTTTTATGTTATATTAATTTGTTATAAAGTTTAAGTTAAAAAATAGCATGCAGAAATCATTTTACATAAACCATTAACCAATTATAAAAATAACATGTAACTTTGTGTATTAGTCATTAATGATAAGTTTTAAACAATTTAATGAGATCCAGTATTTTTTATGTAAATCTATTTTCAAATTCTGTTTAGTAATGAAATTCTTTACACTTATCAAATTCAAAATTTAACACCAAATGCTCTACCAGATTATTGGACCATATTAAGGCTAATTTTAATAATTAAATATAAAGTAATTTGACTACAGATAGTTGGTTAGGTTGTCATCCCTTGATAAATTTGTTTTTGGAAAAGATGAAATTTTAAATTTGTTAAAATAATATATATATGATATTCTCAATACATTAAGAAGTGATACTAAAATTTATCATCATAGTTAGTATAAATCATTATTCTGAAAAAATGTTCTGAATAATTAAAAATGAAATTTTTTAAGACAATAGCAAGTAGAATCTGAATCCCTATTTTGCATGGCAATGACTTCAAATTTTTTATTTCTGACATTTGTGAAATTTTAGAATCATAAAATTATATCTACTAAAGATGTAAACATAAACCTAAAACATATTCAATTTATTTCTATTTATCTATTAAAACTAATATTATTTTTCATCAAATATAAGTTTAGGTCAAGTAAAATTACATTAAAGAATTCAATTCAATAATCTATGTCAGCTATAAAAACATTTTATTTTAATACAAATTCTTTTCTTTATCTAGATGTAATTATAAATCTTATAATATAATCAATATGGGTTGATAATGATGATGATAATAAGTGCAGAGCCCAAATAGTTAGGAGTTGAAAGCTGAAATTTTGTACAGTTAGGGTATGTCTTGAGAACGTACACTAAGAAGGGATTTTTTTGAAATTCCCCCCGCTGTGGGGGAGAGACAGAAAGGGTTAAGGATTACCCTGAAGAACTCGGCTTCTACTGTACTATTTTAGACACTTTTTTGCATTTATGCAGGAAATTGAACATATTGTTAGACTCTTCTAAAAATTCTCAACGATATTTAGTGTTCCATTGTATATAAAGTTGACACAGGGAGCACATAAGTTTGCTTTATTCGAATTCTTTGTCTTAATATTTGATTTTATATTTATGAATGATTCAGGAAAATCCTGCTTATTTTTCAAATTTAGTAAACCTGAAGATGATCCTAGAAAGAGTTACGAAAACATTTATTATTCATCACTTAGTGGTACTAGGCACCAGTTAGTGGTTGCAGCGAGTCTTATTTATTGTTATATCGGTGTGGTAAGAGATATCTAAAAATTCTCTACTCTTGGAAGAGGGGGATCTAATTCTTGAACTTGGTGAAAACAGGTAAGATCGGCTATAATCTAATAATCTTAATCTTTGCTATCGTTACTTTCTGTCCAAGCAACACCAGGCTCATCTGCTAGTATATTAATTATTCTGCCAAAATTTACTAAGTTATATATTACATAAATAATTTTGACTTAATAAATTAATTAACAATAATCTGAGTTATGCATTAAAATAGGCTTATTTGTAATCTACTGATATTATTATTAATTAAATAATTAAATTAATTCTTTATTCATACAGCTTCTAGTACCTTTTTCCTTTTAGGATTTTACTCTTTTATAGCTATGTAATTTTTGGCTATTAATCTGGACTTATACCACATGATATGATAAGTCCAGATTAATAGCCAAAAAATATGCAGCTATAAAAGAATAAAATCTTAATTAAATTAATTTTGTAAGAATCTAGAAAAAACTATACTTATACCACATGATATGATAAGTCCAGATTAATAGCCAAAAAATATGCAGCTATAAAAGAATAAAATCCTAATTAAATTAATTTTGTAAGAATCTAGAAAAAACTATACTAAATGAAAATAAAATTCAATTCTTATTCATCTATAGGCATAGTACTAGTTACATCTGAAATTTCAAATTTTCTTTGACACATTACATCTGAAATTTCAAATTTTTTTCATGACACATCTGATAACATGTTTATAAAATATTGATGGAATTTTGAGTGTTTTTTTAATTTTCTTCACCAAATTAATTTTTTTCAAAATTGATCTTAGATTTTCATGCTAAATTTTGATTATTTAATTTATCATTAATGTAAACAAAGTTTGAAAGATTCATTACTAATGATATAATTATTTTCCAACTAACAAGGGTAAATACCTGAAAATGCTGTTGGATATTGTTGAGAAAGCTTCATTTTCAAAAACCTAAAAATAAATGTGATATTTGAAAATATTTTCTACAATAATTAAAATAAAATTTACTTTATAAAAAAATTTAATGTAGTTTATTTACTGATTCAAAAGCATACATTTAGTTAAAAAATGATTTCATTTCATATTAAGTATTGCATTATCATAAGTAATATAAATATATTAACAAATGTATATATGTGTCATCATTAAGAAAATTAATACATGTATAAAAATTTTTTTTCCAATCAGGAATATATTATACTGGTCTGTCTTAAAAGCATAAATAAAAATTTTGATTTTCCTCAGTTTTTCTTCTCAAATTATTTAATTATGTTAATTTTATAAAAACATTTGTTATAAGAAATTTTTGTATTTTATAATTATGCCATAAGTAATTAATAAAAATAATATATGGAAAGATTTTATCTCTGCCAGACACAATTGACATTTTGCTGGAATTGTTGGCCATTCTTAAATAAGCAAAATAACAAAAAGAACTTTTAGGTCTAAAAACAATTATTTCCAATTTTTTTTTCTATCCCTTCTGTTATAGTAAAACATATGCAAAAATGTCCCTTTTTTAAAATATTTCTCTTAACTGNGCTTTATTCGAATTCTTTGTCTTAATATTTGATTTTATATTTATGAATGATTCAGGAAAATCCTGCTTATTTTTCAAATTTAGTAAACCTGAAGATGATCCTAGAAAGAGTTACGAAAACATTTATTATTCATCACTTAGTGGTACTAGGCACCAGTTAGTGGTTGCAGCGAGTCTTATTTATTGTTATATCGGTGTGGTAAGAGATATCTAAAAATTCTCTACTCTTGGAAGAGGGGGATCTAATTCTTGAACTTGGTGAAAACAGGTAAGATCGGCTATAATCTAATAATCTTAATCTTTGCTATCGTTACTTTCTGTCCAAGCAACACCAGGCTCATCTGCTAGTATATTAATTATTCTGCCAAAATTTACTAAGTTATATATTACATAAATAATTTTGACTTAATAAATTAATTAACAATAATCTGAGTTATGCATTAAAATAGGCTTATTTGTAATCTACTGATATTATTATTAATTAAATAATTAAATTAATTCTTTATTCATACAGCTTCTAGTACCTTTTTCCTTTTAGGATTTTACTCTTTTATAGCTATGTAATTTTTGGCTATTAATCTGGACTTATACCACATGATATGATAAGTCCAGATTAATAGCCAAAAAATATGCAGCTATAAAAGAATAAAATCTTAATTAAATTAATTTTGTAAGAATCTAGAAAAAACTATACTAAATGAAAATAAAATTCAATTCTTATTCATCTATAGGCATAGTACTAGTTACATCTGAAATTTCAAATTTTCTTTGACACATTACATCTGAAATTTCAAATTTTTTTCATGACACATCTGATAACATGTTTATAAAATATTGATGGAATTTTGAGTGTTTTTTTAATTTTCTTCACCAAATTAATTTTTTTCAAAATTGATCTTAGATTTTCATGCTAAATTTTGATTATTTAATTTATCATTAATGTAAACAAAGTTTGAAAGATTCATTACTAATGATATAATTATTTTCCAACTAACAAGGGTAAATACCTGAAAATGCTGTTGGATATTGTTGAGAAAGCTTCATTTTCAAAAACCTAAAAATAAATGTGATATTTGAAAATATTTTCTACAATAATTAAAATAAAATTTACTTTATAAAAAAATTTAATGTAGTTTATTTACTGATTCAAAAGCATACATTTAGTTAAAAAATGATTTCATTTCATATTAAGTATTGCATTATCATAAGTAATATAAATATATTAACAAATGTATATATGTGTCATCATTAAGAAAATTAATACATGTATAAAAATTTTTTTTCCAATCAGGAATATATTATACTGGTCTGTCTTAAAAGCATAAATAAAAATTTTGATTTTCCTCAGTTTTTCTTCTCAAATTATTTAATTATGTTAATTTTATAAAAACATTTGTTATAAGAAATTTTTGTATTTTATAATTATGCCATAAGTAATTAATAAAAATAATATATGGAAAGATTTTATCTCTGCCAGACACAATTGACATTTTGCTGGAATTGTTGGCCATTCTTAAATAAGCAAAATAACAAAAAGAACTTTTAGGTCTAAAAACAATTATTTCCAATTTTTTTTTCTATCCCTTCTGTTATAGTAAAACATATGCAAAAATGTCCCTTTTTTAAAATATTTCTCTTAACTGTTTGCAAGAAGAAATTTCATAATCTGCATTTTATATCTACTTTATAAACAGTTTAATTTTATTATGATATGCCATGTAGCACAGAAATAAAAATATGAAAATAACATGTAACATTAATATAGTTTATTAATTAAGCTAAAGACAGACTTCTATCTTATTCATGTAGTTTCAAATTTATATACTCTAAATAAGTCAATAGTAAGCAAATAATGTCACGTTAGCAATACACCTCATGTTATAGAAGCAATTTAAATTTTCACTTCGAATGATTGTTTTCTAAATATGTCACTCATTAAAAACTATGTAGTGACTACAATTTAGGTCATTATGAGTGGCCCTAACAACAACAAAGTTGTTCAATATGAAAAATAACACAAATTTTTAACACTGTTTTAGGATGCTATTCCAATTTCTTTGGTATATTTTCATCAATTTTTGCAAACAATTCAACACTACAGGATGCAAATTTTATAATGCTGTATCTTGGGAAGGGTTGCTCCTTTATCTATATATATATATAAATGAGGATGTATGTTTGTTTGCTATGCACTCCTAAGCCATTGGACCAATTGCAGTTACTTAATTAAACATACTGTACTTCTAATGTTGGGTGGTATGTATGACATTTTAAGTTTTCAGGATTTGATTCACATTATTAATACCTAAATAGAGGCCAGTTTCCCATAAAAGTGCTCAACTTTCATCTATCCAACTCCATTCTTGATACTAAAGAAGGACAAATGGATGACAGTGGGAATTTATAGGTCTACAATTTTTTCAAATTGCAGTCCAATAATTTGAACTCTTTCGATATTCAAATTATTTTCAGGAACATATTATATTTGGACAACAAGATATGGCTATATGGTTGTATTTTACTGCTCAGTACTGATAAAATAATGCTAAAATACATTTCATCTTTCATAATATGCAAGAGTACAATATTATTTTTATTATATCACAAAAGCTAGAACATTAAGTATTAATAAGGATTTTCATTCTGATAAATTCTAAAAAATGGTATCAATCAGACAAATCATCTAAGAATCATGATTAGAACAATTACAAATTCATGACTTTCTAATTGAAAATTGATTTTCGCACTTTTTCAGAATGTTAATACATTTACAGTATATTACTTGATTTTTAGAATGTTATTCTTAGGAAATCACTTTTGTAAGTTTATTACTATCTGATAACTCATTTTAAACAATGTTTTGTAAAATTAGTGGCTTGTCCCTGTACTCAAATCATACTTTTCCTTTATCAACAGAACACCTTTCAGGGAAAAATTTTTGAATTGAAATAACATGACTTCAGGTTTGCATTAGAAGTTCGTATATAGTTAATCGAGGCCTCCTGCCCCTAAGGTTTCCATTTCTAGTCTTGTCTTTCATCTATCTAACTTTGTTCTCAAGAAAAAGGAAGGAAGAACGAACGGACAAGAGTGGGAATTTGTGTGTACAGTTTTTTTCAAATTGCAGCCCAAAAAGACTAGATTATTAAACCATANTGAGAAAGCTTCATTTTCAAAAACCTAAAAATAAATGTGATATTTGAAAATATTTTCTACAATAATTAAAATAAAATTTACTTTATAAAAAAATTTAATGTAGTTTATTTACTGATTCAAAAGCATACATTTAGTTAAAAAATGATTTCATTTCATATTAAGTATTGCATTATCATAAGTAATATAAATATATTAACAAATGTATATATGTGTCATCATTAAGAAAATTAATACATGTATAAAAATTTTTTTTCCAATCAGGAATATATTATACTGGTCTGTCTTAAAAGCATAAATAAAAATTTTGATTTTCCTCAGTTTTTCTTCTCAAATTATTTAATTATGTTAATTTTATAAAAACATTTGTTATAAGAAATTTTTGTATTTTATAATTATGCCATAAGTAATTAATAAAAATAATATATGGAAAGATTTTATCTCTGCCAGACACAATTGACATTTTGCTGGAATTGTTGGCCATTCTTAAATAAGCAAAATAACAAAAAGAACTTTTAGGTCTAAAAACAATTATTTCCAATTTTTTTTCTATCCCTTCTGTTATAGTAAAACATATGCAAAAATGTCCCTTTTTTAAAATATTTCTCTTAACTGTTTGCAAGAAGAAATTTCATAATCTGCATTTTATATCTACTTTATAAACAGTTTAATTTTATTATGATATGCCATGTAGCACAGAAATAAAAATATGAAAATAACATGTAACATTAATATAGTTTATTAATTAAGCTAAAGACAGACTTCTATCTTATTCATGTAGTTTCAAATTTATATACTCTAAATAAGTCAATAGTAAGCAAATAATGTCACGTTAGCAATACACCTCATGTTATAGAAGCAATTTAAATTTTCACTTCGAATGATTGTTTTCTAAATATGTCACTCATTAAAAACTATGTAGTGACTACAATTTAGGTCATTATGAGTGGCCCTAACAACAACAAAGTTGTTCAATATGAAAAATAACACAAATTTTTAACACTGTTTTAGGATGCTATTCCAATTTCTTTGGTATATTTTCATCAATTTTTGCAAACAATTCAACACTACAGGATGCAAATTTTATAATGCTGTATCTTGGGAAGGGTTGCTCCTTTATCTATATATATATATTTTTTTTTGCTTGCTTATACAGGGTGTTTGGAAAGTCATTTTCATTGCTTAACAAAACAATTTCTGGTTTTTTCCCAATTTATTAATATTTTATAAAGTTCAGGAAATTTAATAAGGGATAAATTTCATAAATATATACTTTTGTACATGGATTATACAGAAATTGTTAATAAATAATAAATAAATAATTGCTTTTCCTTTTTTTCAAAGCAATGTAGATGTATGATTGTGGATTAGTAATAGAATAAACTATCTTAATTTAATAAAACATTTATTTTTAGTTTTAATAATTTGGCAATTATGAAAAATATATAACTATTATTTAGAAAAAATAACTAATTAAAAAGTTGGAGAAGCAAAATCATATGTGTATAGAAAGTCAAATGTTGTTTTATTTTGTTTTATCTTGTAAGGGACATGAGGGTCAGGAAATTTATACAAAGTTGAGTAGAAATTCTGTATATATAATTCAAGCTTGATTTTCTATGAATACATATATTGAATTATAGTTACCTGAAAAGTTATTTGTATAAAATCAGTCAATTTTTTAATCAGGTACCATTATTTCTCATTGTAAACTTATCCAAAAATCTAATTTGTTATGCAATTTAATGTTTGTACACATAAACATATATTACCATCTGAATAATACTGAAAATTCTGTCTTATTTTACAAATAAATACATCATTAAACATTAATGTTTTAGAAAATTCTACTAATATCTTAAATCAATTTTTATATTAGTTACTAGAATCTTAAATCATTTTAACAAACTCATATTGAAACATCAAAAATATCACTGTTTAAATTAATAAATACCTAATTCTTCGAAAAACTGAATCCAGGTCTTTTTTCATTTCTGTTAGTAATTGTATGTGCCGTTTTATTTCTCGGCTTGCCACTTCAAACCTTGATGCTGACAATGCATTACAGTTAATTAGCATCTCATTTGTTTTTTCAAATCTGAGAAGCCTGTAAAAAATTATTTTGCCAATAAAATTTGTTATATTTTTAATATTAGTCATTTTATTTCATGCATTTGTTGATATTACAGTAGAACAGTACAATCTCAATTATACAAGATAACATGGACTGCCAATACCTTGGATAACTGAAAACTCGGATAATATGGATGGTCACAATCATTTTGATTTAAAAATTACAAACAAAAGATTTACACAATAGCATTTTTAAGTCTCTTTTTATATTTTAGCAAATTTTATCATATATAAGAATAATTTTTACATCATTTATTATACAGTTAATACATATACACATTTTTTATTCTTAAAATTAATGTATTATTGTAATTACATTTTAATATGAATAATTTGTGTCACATTGAAGTTAAATGATAAAAGGTAACAGAAACAAATTATTTTGTAATAAATATTTTGAACTTTCTTTTATGAATTACACTGTAAGGAAGGTAGTGTATTTACTTACAGTTTTGCCTCAGATAATGCAGAACCTTAATTTATTGAGACTCAGATAATCAAGGATCTATTGTGGTTGCAAATTAAAAAAGTTTTCAGGATATATCTTCAGAAAAAAAAATTTGTATTTGCTAAAATAAATGTATTGAATAAATAACAAAATTTGCTTTATTGGTACCTGCTTACATTAAATAACAAACTGCACAGAGAAACTTACTTATATAAATAGAGCTCTAGTAAAGCAAATTTTTGTTATTAATTTAAGAAATTAATTTAAAAATTTTGAAAAATTATATTAAATTTCAAAGAATAAATAAAACGTTCAATAATTATTAAATTTTTAGATACACTGAAAGAAAAAATGCACTGGCTAGTTTTCTTCAAAAACTCCATATTAGGTATGGTACTGTACATACACATACAGTACATTTTCATCATAGAAAAATTAAAACATTGATATAATATGTATGCAGATTCATTTCGTGCATGCACTTATTAGTATTTTTCCCATTACAGCTTTTTCTATGATGAAATAAAAACACACATTCACTAAAACCTATACTCTACAACCTAATTTTATCAGATTGGTAATTTGCTTTTCCTCCTTTATAACTATAATTGAATATGTGAGCACTATGTTTTGGCTGTATGGATGACTTATCCCACATGGTACATGGTAAGATTCTAGCTCTGAATGAGGGGTTTTTCACCCCAGAATTGTAGACTCCTACATGAGCAAACAAGTCAAAGGAACCATACCTGTACATGCAACCCTTTGCGAGGTATTCACCTCCAAAGATCAGTTTTTAACATGTATCAATATATTGCCTATTCTCCATGCTCCACATCATTAAGGCTCACTATCACTTGCCTTGATCAATGCTCCATATATAGTCATCCAACCGAATATATATGCTTCAGTGCTTGCTATCGCTTTCACCTTGCCCCCACCAGGTGCTGAGGTGCAAGTGATTATATAACTAAAATAAAATAAAATTATATAATAATATAAGCCATTGATTGCACTGTTTGTATATCTGTAATTTGTAACGGAATGCCTAGAATAGCCACTAGGAGTGTCCCTAGTTATTATTTAAATTAACAATAAATTCAGTATATTATTATTTTTATTTGTAATAGGAATTTATTATTAAACAAATATTATAATAAATTACACAATGAAATATTAAGAAACCAATCAAAAATGGGTAAGATTAAGACAGTTCTTGATAAACAAAACAAAAATCCACCAGATGCCATGTTGCAAGTATCTATATATATCGATTATTATTATAGTATTTATAAGTATCTATATATATTTTTATTTGTAATAGGATTTTATTATTGATATGAATTTATTATTTATACCACAAGATAACACCACTGTTGCTAGAACACCCACTAGGGAGTATCCAGTGGTACTAGTATAAAATAAATTATAACCTAAAATAAAAAATTTATAATAAAATTATATAACATCAAGTACTCCACGAACAGTCAAGCGAGCTACTCAAAGCCAGCATAGTCACACAGGCTAAATACTTAAATACAATAGTATTAGTGAAGCGACAACTTGCAATTTCACACAACCCGATTTTGGGGGCGTATCTCACTAAGGATCACTTGTAGAGGTATGGTTCCTTTGACTTTTTTGCTCTTACAGATATGCTCTACAGATCTGATAAGCTTGTGTACTCATTCAAAGTTTGAATTGTGCTATCACACACTACTGACAGCCAGAGAAATCACAGAAATGGGCGAACATAATAACCAGTATTCACCCATTTCCATATAATCTCTGGCTGCATTGGTAACATGCGATAAGTCTTCCATAGAGCCAAAACTTATTCAATATATTCAATTATATTAATTTTATCATTTATAAAGGTAATATATTCATATTATGATTATTACATAATCAAAAAAAAATTTCAATATAATTTTATTATGATATCAATACTAGATTATATTAAACAACAGAAAAACTAATTGCACAGTATTTTTAAGTTTGAAAATTACGTAGTTACTTTTAGTTAAATTACTACATATGTAAATATATAGACATTGATCTAAAAGTAACTTCTACCAAGAAATATTTTACTGCATATTCCCAAAGTCCGTATAACTTTTGTAAAACTTTGCTTCATGGAAAATCATCATCTTCACGTCTTTCGTTTCGTAAATTTTTTTTTATTTTATTGCAATAATTTAATTTATTTAATGAATAAACAGAATCTTACATCTGTTGCTGCGCCTGAATCAACGTCTCTACGTCGTGTTCATTAACCTGATGCGATAAAGTTTGAATAAAAGCCACGGGAGCCGGTAATATCGCTCCACTATATTCTTGAGATCCGTAATGAGACATTTTTTTCTCGTATTTATTAAAAATTGTAAATCTAAAGGGGTCAGCTTTTACTTTTAAATTATTCGTAAGTTACGTCGTCCGCCATTTTAAATGTATTACTTACGCCCTCTAGGTGCGTAAATAAACATAAATAAACGTGGCCTACTCGATACTGTATAAAGCGAAGCATCATACTTCGTATCTAACAAAAAATTAATTTTATTGGAAAAATAAATAAATAAATATTTTTAGTAACACGACACTGGGCCCAACATATCGCCCGTGAAAAATTCCTGGAGTTTCTCGTACGGGTCTAACACCTTAAAAAAACCCGACAGTCACAGCATTGTAGGCATGATTAAAAAGTCATCTTACTTGTTAGTGCCACAGGACACTTCACTTCATTGCGTTTTTTATAAATCTTTATTGAAACTGCCTCAATACCGCTAGGCATCACTGAGATAATACACTGGCGGAAATTGAAAGTGCTACACCCACCCAATATTGTCGAAGACATATGAAACTGGGACAAAAGAATCTCTTTTTGAAGGGTATTGAATGATCAAAAATTAAATGAAGTACATACAATGGTATGGAAATTATGGAGACATTTCTTATGCAAAATTGCTATGGTGTTTACTTTATAATTTGTGAACTGTGTTATGGAACATGACTTTTTTTGGTACACGTTGTTGGTGACCAGCTATGCCATATCTACGAGTGAGAACTCCGTACACCCAAAATATCTGGCTTTGAAAGAGGTCGGATAATTGGCATGTCAGAAATGGGAGCATCATATCGTGAAATTGCTTGAAGGACTGTCCGTAGTGCAATGTCAGTACAAAGAGTGGTCACACGGTGGATGCAGGAAGGGTCCAGTACTCGCAGACCTGGCACAGGTTCACGCAGAAGGACGACGCCACGTGTAGACCGCCATATTGTGCGGATGGCAGTTGCTGACAGATGTGCAGTGGCAGCACAGATCCGAGCAGTAGTTACTGCCAGAGTCACCCCACGGACAATTGTAAACCGATTGCTTGATGCTGGGCTGAGATCTCAAACCCCCATGCAATGTGATCCTTTAACCAGATTTCATCGCCAACAATGCTGCTAGACGTAATTGGACACATGAATAGCGTACAATTCTGTTTAGTGATAAATCCCGATTCTGTTTAGGCCAATGTGATAGTCAGTAACATGTCCGCCAGCGTGCTGGAGAAAAAGCCCACCCTGCTGTGATTTCAGAATGCCACTCAGGTCCGACTCCTGGTGTCATGGTTTTGGGGGCAATCAGTTACGACAGCAGGACCAAATTGGTGGTTGTTGAAGGCACAATGATCACCCGCCAGTATGTGGACAGGGTGATCCATCCAGTAGTCATAACTTTCATGAACACCATCCAAAATGGTATCTTCCAACAAGATAATGCCCATTTTCATGCTGCTGCCATCACAAGACAGGCCTTGCAAAATGTCGCAATCATAGATTGGCCTGCCCGGTCTTCAGATTTATCCCCTATAGAGCATGTCTGGGATATCATGGGTAGACAGATTACATCTCATAGCCATCCAGCGCGCACTGTACAACAATTGACTGCACAAGTTGTGCAGACATGAAGAGACATACCCCAACAAGACATTCAACCACTTATTGTTTCAATGCCTGCAAGGATCCAAGAGTGTATCCATGCTCAAGGTGGTCATACCTCTTACAGAAACATGTACCAAACAGCAATAAAACTTTGCGTAATTTATTTCATTTTGTATTCATTTCTTCTGGATATGCCCCTGTACATGTTTACCAAGTTTCGTGAATTTCTATCAATTCTATCTGGATGTAACATTTTCAATTTCCGCCAGTGTATTACAAAGGATATTTATTACATTGTACCGGTACATGGATACCGAATACAAGTCACATATAATTATGAATATAATGTATAAAATAGAATATAGTCGACCCCCTATAACGCGGTAGATACGTCCCACTTTATAAGAATTTCGCGTTGTAGGAATCCTTTAAATAAATGAGCCAAATCACGCCCGGCACACGTGCAGTTTACGAACTACGGCCGTTTGAAATGTTTTCTTCCATAAAATTAATCGATTCTAGACTAATTTGACTCAACATTTCCAAAACACGTACTGTATAATTTTTTGGTAATAATCCGTATAAACTATGCTATAAACAAAAAATTGTAGGATTACTTACCGAGTGTGCACCGTTCGACGACGCCATTGCTTAAGCTTGTTTTCGTCGCGGAGCGGCGCACCAAACGGCGGGCGCGTTTTCTGATAAGTTATTTTTCTGCAAAAAATTCGTTGAACTTTGGAGACATCATTAATAGAAATAATTTTTATGACTGTTTAATAAAAAATGTTTTTTTTTTTTTTTTCACAAGAAATGTATAAAATTACAGTAATGTATTAGACTTACAGTATCTAATTTAAATACTGTACAGACGATAGTAAACTCAACTTACCCGCCTAAACTCTCCGTAGCGTGTAAATAGTTCGGCTGCTCATCCACTATTGGTCCAGATTCGACCATTCCTGTCGCGACACGAGTCGGCGATGACATTTTACTGCATTTTACGAGTCTGTTTTAGCGTCTTTATACGAATACGGTCGCAATTTTTTAAAGTTGTTCTCAAACCGAAACAAATTTTCTCATAAGAAACAATATAAAATGGATTAGAGGAGGAATTCAACTGACGTTCATAAACGAAAATCTCGCCTTTTCTCAAAATCATCGTCCAATAAGAGTACTGTATTAGAATTTACCGTTTATGACCAATCAGAAAACGAGGCCGGCTATATAAATGTACTGTACTTGGATTCTGATTCGTTAAAACTTTTACTGGGAGCGAAAGGATGCTTACCATCCTCTCGTTCCTTTTTTATACAGAATTTGTTAATTAAATTTTAATTATAATTGTTTTTACTTTAATTTTAAAGCTAGAAGAAAAAGTAATATTTAGATCAAAAACTTTAATTTGAATCTTTGACAGATTTTGTATGCATTAAATAGTTGAAAAAAATGAATTATTTATTTTTTTTAAATGCATAGATTTGTTCAGTTTTACTTTTTTAAATTTCTAAATCGTCTGAGATAATTGATTTTAAAGGATATTTAAAAATTTAGACTAAAAACAGTGTTATATATGGGTGTTTTTAAAACACCCATATATAAAAACTCAACAGTTTTATTTTAAATGGAATTGACCTCTGAAGCGATCAACAGTTACATTCGATCCAACGACATTCGACGTGGTATCAAAATTTATACCAATTTCAAAAGAAATCAAAATGAGTGATGCAGTGAAGTGATTGATTTTGTCTGAAGATTCTGCACTTCGGCATCACTTTTTCTCTTCAATCTTCAAATTAAAGTTCTGATATTGTTAATAACTGATATATAACTGTATTTATCATAGAGCACTGTCATGCTGTTTTGATATTTTATTAAAAAAAATCTATATATATAAATGAGGATGTATGTTTGTTTGCTATGCACTCCTAAGCCATTGGACCAATTGCAGTTACTTAATTAAACATACTGTACTTCTAATGTTGGGTGGTATGTATGACATTTTAAGTTTTCAGGATTTGATTCACATTATTAATACCTAAATAGAGGCCAGTTTCCCATAAAAGTGCTCAACTTTCATCTATCCAACTCCATTCTTGATACTAAAGAAGGACAAATGGATGACAGTGGGAATTTATAGGTCTACAATTTTTTCAAATTGCAGTCCAATAATTTGAACTCTTTCGATATTCAAATTATTTTCAGGAACATATTATATTTGGACAACAAGATATGGCTATATGGTTGTATTTTACTGCTCAGTACTGATAAAATAATGCTAAAATACATTTCATCTTTCATAATATGCAAGAGTACAATATTATTTTTATTATATCACAAAAACTAGAACATTAAGTATTAATAAGGATTTTCATTCTGATAAATTCTAAAAAATGGTATCAATCAGACAAATCATCTAAGAATCATGATTAGAACAATTACAAATTCATGACTTTCTAATTGAAAATTGATTTTCGCACTTTTTCAGAATGTTAATACATTTACAGTATATTACTTGATTTTTAGAATGTTATTCTTAGGAAATCACTTTTGTAAGTTTATTACTATCTGATAACTCATTTTAAACAATGTTTTGTAAAATTAGTGGCTTGTCCCTGTACTCAAATCATACTTTTCCTTTATCAACAGAACACCTTTCAGGGAAAAATTTTTGAATTGAAATAACATGACTTCAGGTTTGCATTAGAAGTTCGTATATAGTTAATCGAGGCCTCCTGCCCCTAAGGTTTCCATTTCTAGTCTTGTCTTTCATCTATCTAACTTTGTTCTCAAGAAAAAGGAAGGAAGAACGAACGGACAAGAGTGGGAATTTGTGTGTACAGTTTTTTTCAAATTGCAGCCCAAAAAGACTAGATTATTAAACCATAATTTTTTTATGCCTTTGGATCCATGTACAGTCATATTCAACATTACCAAGGGTTTTTACTTTCTTAACTGTTATATATAACAAAGGAAAAGTATAGTGATCGGTCAAAAATGATTTTACAAGATTTTACATTTTCGAACTCAGGACAACTTGAAATGTCAAGAAATAAAAAAAAAAAATTCAGGGCTTTTTTCCTGTGTACACACACAGGAAAAAAGCCCTTGCAAAACTTCAGAAAAAATTTCTGAAATTTTGCAAGGAGGTTTGGGTATTACAGAGATTAAAAAATTAATGAAATTTCCTACTCATCAAAACAAAGGACAAAAATATTGCACACTTGAAGATAATGCTAAAAGTATATTACAATTTATACTTTGTAGTGAATCCCTGGTTCTTAATAATCTGGCATTGAATGCACTAGTTTTTGCACAACTTCAGAGGAAATTTTTTACCATTATTCAAGGAGAAGTCTTTGAAATGATTTAAGTTCAATATCTCTTATTCTCTCAATCTATCAAGTTTTTTCCATAAATGTTCAATAGGATTCAAATCTGGAAATTGTGGGGATGTTTCAGAGTGTGAGGTGTAGATAAAGTAATCATTGATGGACAATACAAGTCATATGTTTATGGTCA